CTGTCCTACCCCCGACCTGGACGCACGCCTTAACAGGTTGGCAACCCGCTGCCTGTGCGCCAGTATGGGGCACAGTTAGACTACAAAACTTGCTACGTCTGTAAAGGCAATACACCACAGTGTTGCGGGTTTGCCTACCCGATCTGCCCGTAAGGCGCCATAGCCCCTTGGCCTTGACATGCAAACCCGCAACACTCGGGGAGTATTAGCCTTTACACTCGGTCCGTATGGAGACAACCGCCCACCTGGCAACGAGGGAGGGTCACTACGTGTCATACAGACCGTCCACGAGACGGAAAGAAAGGAAGGAGCGGAGCAGCGGGGGCGGCCAGGCAGGGAGGCAGGCAGCCAGCCAGCCAGCAGCCAGCCTCCGTACCCTTCCCTTCCATTCCATTCCAGCTTTTCCTCTTCCTTTCTTTTCCATCTCTCCTCTCTGGGTTTTATTCAGCGAAAAGGGGGAAAGGGAAGGGGAGTGGATGGAGCGGGGCGGGGAGGGGGAGGCCGGTGACTGGCCCCGCTGCTTTGCTTTGTGCTTGACGCTGCCCTGCAAGCAGAGCTGCTTGGCAGCAGAGGCGCGGCGTGGCGCGGGATGAAGACGTGGGCTGGCGGGGCGGGGCGGGGCGGGGCGCGGCGGAAGGGCTGGTGGCTCTCCAGCACGAGCCGAGGGGGAGTACTCACACTCACCCTCATACCGCTCGTGGTCCTAGAGGTCCGTGTCGTCGAGCGGTCGGGCGCACAAGTCCTCGGCGGGTGAACCCCAAGACCCCAGCACTCGCCAGCGCCAGACGGTGTCCGTGGGTGTCGCGTCACCAGCAGCACAACAACAGCAGGACACTATAAAGTACCTCTGCCTTTTGAGAATCGCAATAACATCGTCATGACTGAGGTCATGACAATGACAGTCGCGAAACAGAGAACTTGGTGTAGGAGCATTTGGCGTGGGGCAGAGCGGGGCGGGGTGCGGAGTGAGAGTTGTTGGGCGACGTGAGAGGTGCTGGGCGGGGTGAGAGGAGGTGCTGGGCGAGGTGAGATGTGCTGGGCGGGGTGAGAGGTGCTGGGCGGGGTGAGAGGTGGGAGGTTGGGGGAGGGAGGGCGAGTGCGAGCGCCAAACATGGGGCGAGAGGCGTTGCAGCCGCGAGTAACGAACCGCCTGGCAAACTCGTCCCCTCTGCGCTGCACTGGAGGGACGCACTCGAGGTGACAAAAGTCGAACAAAAGTCACACAGGGGGAGGGGAGAGGTAGACAGAAAGTGGAGGGAGTGAGGGCGGACGAACGCGAGAAGGAGAGAAGGGAAAAGGGGGAAGTGAAGGGTGAAGGGGCATCGGCTCGGCATACCGTGTGTGGCCCCGCCGCAAGGCTCCTCGGGTAATTAGTGACAGCGGCGCGGGGGGGGAAGTCCTAAACACGATCAGCGTAGTAGAACCCTATCGGTACGCACAACTGCGATGCAACCCCTCTCTCGACTTGTCCCGCGTCTGGAGCAGAGGGTGCAGAGCTGATAACTCGTATAATCTGCGACATTCTTATTGGACACTAATAGCGAATTCTGACTCTGTCGCGCCAAGTCGGCGGTCGGTTGTCTGTCTACATTCATGGAATCTGTAGCGTAAATTGCCCGCCTTTCAGGCGGCTCGCTCAGGGGACGACAAGGAGGTGTGGGCTTAACCAACGTCAAAAAGGTCTATAATTGTCATTATTGTGGAACCTGCTGCTGCCACCGCGACAGAGATGCCGCCGTGCAGACTCTTGCGGCCCGATGAGAATTTATTTCGAACGAAGCGTGAGACAGGTTCGTCGTCGCAGCTATGGAGCGGCGCTCGTCAAGGGAGCCGCGCCGCCGCCGGGGCTGAAATGGAATACGTCAGAGTTGGCGGGGCCCGGCGGGGCCGTTATTGCAGCAGCAGGGGCAGCATGGAGGCTGGGAGCGAAGGCGGCGAGGCGGGCCGCGGAACCGATCCGGCCGCGAGATTATTAGTGTAGCGGGGGCCGCGGTCAGGTGACACATGCACACACGCATGCATGCACGCACACAGGGGCGCGCACGCACACGCACACACACACACACAGGGGCGCACGCACGCACACGCACTGGCTCTCTCAGTACTCAGTACACTTAGCACTCCACCGCCTGCGGCTCACTACAGCTCACGCCCCTCCTCATTCATGGGCTCTGGCGAAAAAGGGGACGTATCTTTTTTAAAATGACTTTGGATGGAACCCATTATCAATCGAAAATAATTTAGGGGGCGAGCACGACAGAGGTATTTTAGGAGCAGAAGGTCAAGGAAAGGGACGCGCATTTTACCGAGTGTGGTGGTGGATGTCGTGCTGGGGGCCGCGGGGGAGAGGGGCAGCGGGGAGGGCCCCGCCTGCGACCCGACCATGGCCACGAAGACGCCGTTGGCTCTGTCCACTCCAGTGGAGTGACTCCGGTCCGGGACCCCGGGCCCAGTCTGCTCACT